TGTTCATTCTGAACTTCCTGAATTCCCTGATCTCTTAATCTCACCCCTATATTTCTTTCTTCGACCACTTGCACAGGGGGTCGAATTCGTTCGATTATGGGTTCTTCATTTCAAATTTCCACTGGGTTTTGCCTACGCCTTGCAGGCGCATTAGGGGCACCAAAGAAATCTGTTATTCTGTCCATCTGGGCTGCATTTTCTTGGTTTGTTCTATTTATATTCTGGATTAGGGGATTGAAAATAGCATTCATTTCGTGGGCTAGGATGCCTACCATATCATGATTGCTATCATCCATCTGTTGCCTAAGCGCTGCCTGACTATTAGTTGTAAGAGTAGGCATTTGGGCAAAGTTTCCTATATTCTGGAAATTTGTACCCAAATGGTTCATTCCTGAACCAGATCCTTGGAGTGGGGACGAAGTTGTTGTATTATGTAACCCTGCCATAAACGAAGTTGGCATCCCATACTGAGGATTTCTGGGTCTCAAAGGTTCAAAACCTAGAGGCCTAGGGGGGGTCGAATATTGTTGATTCCCTATGTGTGGCGCAGTTTGCACTGAAGACACGTTTGATGGTATGCCTAATGTACTTACTGGGATCGTATTCGAACTGCCAACAAGAATGGCATTGGAGGCATCAATCGAACTTGAAACGATTGTTGCAGCCCCCTGTGGGGGATTCTGTACCCCATCTTGGTTGGTTGTATTAACCATTATTTTGGTACGTTGTTTTCTGGGTATATGTGGATTGTTATTCTTTATTTTGCCGCCTCGAAGGTTCATGTACCGAAACGCGCTCCACACTCAGAAAATCCTAAAACTTCTCTAATATGTTTGTTTGATAAAACTTTTTGTTATGACACTGTCCCACCAGGTGTGCCAATTTGTTTACAGTGATTTCTAATAAACAACCGCTAGTCTTCCAATTTACTAATTATTATTGGTTACTTGCAGGATCGACTAGATTGATCCTAGAACACATGTGTCATAACTCATTTCCATGTTCATATCTATTATATTGATAGACTTATATTGTATGTTAAGTTCGAATATGAGATTCTTAGAAAAGATTTCTAAAATGGTCTATAGGAATAAACTAACTGAATGTAGGCAGGAAAGGCTTCGAATTAGACTTGGGCTTGAATGTAAAGATAAGTGTTTGACTAAAAGGATAAAGTAAAAGTAAAGTTTCTAACGAAGTGACTGTGTTTAAAGGCAAGTAAAACAAAGAAATGCAAGGAAATCGAATGATTTAAGGGCAAAAATACTGTAATGGCGAACTAAATATAACAAGACTTGTATTGAAATTGTAAAAAAGTAATGATGTTCAATACGTACATTGTATCTTCTGACTCGTTTTCCTTAATTCACGGTAGTTTGAGTATTTTGAGATCTTTTAGTACATAAAAGTGAACACCCTAAATCTAACATAAGAACACCTATTTATAGTGTCTTGACCCTAACGGCCCTATTCTAAAATCACGCCACGTTCGAAGCATGCAGGCTTCCTATGTTTGCTGACTTCCACGCGTCTTCTAGAATGGCGCTCTTTATTTGAAATTCGAAAAACTGTACCAATCGAAGCATCTTGTTTCTTTGTCGCTTTCGAAATAACCCAATTACCTGGACCGTTTCCAATTCCTGGCACCCTTACATAAAGGAGCTCTTTTATAATTCGAATACTAAAACAAGTCCAAATCGAAATCTGCTGGAAATTGAATAATCCTTCAACATAATGACTCCATATCTCCCACCAATATCCAATATTGATATTAATCTCCTTAGGTACTTTATTCGAAATATTATTTTGATAGTGGTTTCTTCCTTATTCGAAATAGCCAGCTAACACTATGTTAATCTTCACATGATCTAAAAAATTTCTCCTAATCGGAAGATGCAACAAATATCAGACATCGTCCAGTGTGATAGACATCTCACCATGTGGTAGATGAAATGATGACCACTTCATATGTCACCTCTCTACAAATGTATTAAGCATACCATGGTTAACAATAACATATCCAATCTTGCACAAGTCTCACATCTCAGATAATTGTAAAAACTTCCTGAAACCATGGCTCATTAGACTTATGGAGGCCAGTAATCTTCACCCATGGTTGATGATTTTTAACGGATCACGGTCTTGCAGACATAAATTAATAAGAATGAATCCAAAAAACACAATCTTATATTACAACAAACATGGGTTCAAAAGAATGAATCCAACTAAATTTAACCTCTTTGTCTGGAGATGCATCTCCGTAATATATACGAAAATATATTTCTGTAATATTTTTCTTTAGAGTTAGAGTCTGATTAAAAAATGTATTGAATTTTGGTGCGTCTGGAGATACATCTCCCTAATATATATGAAAGTGTATCTCCGTAAAAGTTTTCCGTTGAGTTAGAACTTGATTCAGAAATGTATTGAGTTTTAGTGCGTCCGGAGATGCATCTCCAGAATCTGAAAATATTATTGTATTTTCACGAGGTGTGCTATTAATGTATATGGTGCATTAAAATTCCCCTTTATTTTTAGTGCAGCGCTCTAAGTCCATTGAAGCTTAAATGTCCAAACATGTAGTGACATAACCGTGAAGGATCTGAATTAAATAGACACTTTAAATATTATTATTATTGTTATTGTTATTTTATTATTATACATCGCTAAAATAAACTATCTAAGTATTACTTCATAAGCAGATAAAAAAAACTAAACGACTAAACATAAATATTCTAAAAGATTGCATTCTACAATTTGCAGGCAGCTATTATCTTTGAGCTTCAAGGTGTTATTTTGTCTTAAGTTGACTAGTGTTGTAATTTTGAGAATGCGTCTTCGTGAAGATGGAGGTGAGGATGCATTAGAAGGGGACCCTCGTCTGCTACGAGAAGACGAAGAAGAAGGCAGAGATACATGAGTCCTGGAACCTGACGCCTTATGTACAATTGATCTAGAGGTAGAAGGAGTCGGGTATGGTTGACTCTTTTTCCTCCGAATGGATGCATGTTGTGCAATCCTACTGTATCTCAATCTGGATTGTCTGTCATCCATAATTCCTATACTACAAGAAAATTGATAAATTTCGACGATTGATTTTGGAGTTTTACGGCGGTTTGAACCACCACAATTTGCAAGGTGCGACAGTTGTTGCTGAAACATGTATCAGCAAGGGGTTTTGCGACTAGGGGTGCTCAAAACTAATCCGGTCCAATAGAAAATTGCTAATAAAACCAAACCAAAAACCATAAAAAAATCGCATTTGATTCGAATGTGTTTGAGTCATTTTTTAACAAAACTGCAGAGTTCGATTCAGTTTACGGTTTGTATTTTTCAAACTGAAATAAACTGAATCAAACCGCATTATGTTACAACATCTTACAAACAATTATATATTTTTAAATATTAAGAGAAATCAACAAATACTATGTATATATTTTACTGATTCTTTGTATGATATTTATTTTAATTTACATATTAACAACAAAACCAAATATACTAATATTATTTTCATTTGAAATTAAATTGATATATATATATATATATATATATATATATATATATATATATATATATATATATATATATATATATATATATATATATATATATATATATATATATATATATATATATATATATATATATATATATATATATATATATATATATATATATATATATATATATATATATATATATATATATATATATATATATATATATATATATATATATATATATATATATATATATATATATATATATATATATATATATATATATTAATTTGTTGATATTGATTTGGATAAAGTTAAAAGAAATAGTTTAATTTACATTAGTTTTGTATCACTTAATATATAAAATATTGATAATAAAAAAATTTATAGTGTTATGGTGATAGTATAGTCACATACATTACACTTGCTTGTAAGTACATAATATAGAATTTCAAATTTTGAAGAATTCATTTTATACATACTGTCTTTTAAATATAAGGTAAAATTGTAAGGCACATTTATATTTGAGTATAAAGTTTTAAATTTATTTTGTGATAATATATAAATGACTTATAAAATTATGTTGTTCTCTATATGTGTTGGTTCAATATTATTTTTTTATAAAAAAATCAAATCAATTTAAACAACATTGGTTTGATTTGGTGTTTATTTCTAAAAACCAACTAAATCAAATTAAACCGCGCGCATTTTTTTCTTGCGGTTTAAATGATTTTTAGAATAAAAACCGTCCAAACCGCACCGCAAAGATCCCTAATTACAACAATCATTAAAATCATCGCGACGGATAGAAAAATATTGTAAATTTCGAGTAGCAACGGTTATAACACCACCGTTCAGGTAAATTCTTTTTTTAATTCTCTTTGCCTCAGTTTCAAACCATCGTGAGTTTGTAATTCTGACTGTTCTAACGGTTATAATTTGAACTTATTTATTTAAATTATTAAAATCTCAATTTTTTATTTATTTATAGTATTAGATTTTATAATATTATTATTTTATTCTACTTACATTATTTTATTATAATATCCTTCTAATTTTATTTTATTATTTATAATATTATTTTTTATCACTTTTTAACGTAATAAAAAGTCAATCACAAACGTCTAAAATCAAATAAGCATCATGATATAAAAAAAAATATGAGTTTCATAATCATGTCATGTAGTACAATAAATCGAAAATATATCAAATTCTAATCTTATAATAATAAGTATCATTAGCTCTTTGCTTGTTGTTTGTTCACATTTCAACGCCTTGCAGATCAAGATTCAGAAGACTCCAACCTTGCTCTAGGCCCTTCCAACAAAGTAAGCACTTAACTTCTGGATTGGTTCTCCGGCTACCAATACCATCTTCACCAATACATTATCCATCCAGCCTCTTGCTGTTATCATCAGACACAACTTGTGCACATAGCAGTAGAGTTTTGAGGAATACTTTTGAGTCAAAATTTTGTTCAGTAGCTACATGCCATAACGATCACCAACAACTATTCATAATTGTATTTAAGAAACACAACCTACAAACAGAATAAAACTGTTATGGAACCAGCTTGACAGAAAAAGATCTAAATAATAGCAAAAATATACTGAAGGAAACTAAATTCAAGCTAAATGATGACAGATAATTAATCTATGAAGAGTACTAATCCAGAAGTCTACATATAATCTCCAGGAATTGCCATACCCTTCTTGATTAAATTTCTCTTCTGTAGGTTACAGGAATGCTACCAAAGAGAGTGAGGGATAGGTTTAGGTTCCACATTTTTTTTTACCAAATTTAAAAGTGCATGTGTGTTTAGATGTGTTTTTCAGACACTGACAACTCTGTTCTTATCAACCATACAGCATACAATGCACAACTACTGTACTAGCGCGCGCACACACATCACATTAATGCTACCAGTTAAGCATACAATGCACACTTAATGTACCTGCGGGATCTTAAACACATTCGTTGTAGTGAAAACAGTCCCTGCATCAAGTGGAAATTGGCTAATGACCTTATGAGGGCTTTGCTTCTGCACACATGAGATGACCTGCATACGATTCGAATTGTTCACAATATTCCTCCATAATCCTTTTTTGTTTAAGACTTAGCAACTCAAACACATTATGCATCACTGAATTCCCATTGTTTGTACCATGTAAGTGTCTTCCCTTCCATTGCAACCATAATTGCTTGCCTCTCTTCTTTCAGATTTTGCTCCATGTTGTCTCGTGGCCAGCAAACCTTTGAATATGCGCTCCAGGCAGATATATATTCGGTAATAACTAACTCATAAAGCACTTGTCTCAGGCTTCTCGCTACTTCAGTGGGGAAATTAGTAGATCAACCTGAAATATAAGCACAGATTTTATTACAAAAAACACACTCGAAGGAAAACAACAATGCCGAAAATAAAACAAGATCGATAGAAACAACACGGCCAATAGAACACCAAAAGCCAATATTATAAAATATTCTATATCACATGATCATTGATTGACTTTGTAGAAAAGGAATATATATGCCAAGAGAGAACCAGGCTCTGTCATACTGTGTCAAGCATTATGATCCAAAATAATTGCATATCTTAAGCTTCTTACCTGTAACCAGTAGTATACAATTCCGGATACCATAATAGTGTCCTATGAAAAAGTAATAGTCCCTCCCAGCTGTACTGAAGCCTATACGAACATTGAACAGAAAACAAACACATAATTTGGGCAAACAAATATCAACATTCAACAAACAAAAATATACTTTCAGCTCGCCGCAAATACCAAATTCGGACACCCTCGGTACCAACTTCAACTAATTTCTGCTCCAACTCTTTCAACTTAATTTCAACAATTATTCTTCTCATGAGGCTGCGGATTCATCTCAAAGTTGGAAAACAAAGCAAGGGAAGTTTTGTTCCTCAAAGCTTGTTTCCCAGCTTCAATGATAAAAGTATGACTTGGTAGAAGCTATTGTTAATCTAACACAAACAAACATTCACCAACAAGTCACACAACATGAATCACATTTAACTCCAAAGGAACATCTAGACATTTACATGGAAAATTAGTTTCTTTGTAAACAGAGTTATGGACATTAAAAAATTGGAATTCCAAGCCTGGTTGATAAAATATCCTTCTAATATTCATTAAACGTATAAATCTAGTTTTCAGCAAAAATCTGTGGAATTGGAATGCTTCATCCCTAACCAAAAGACAAATATTTTCCATTAGTACCTAATTGACTCAATATAATACCTTAGAAAATGAAGTAAACAAAAAAGTCATTATTTTAACCTGTAACATTTGACCAATTTTCTCCACAAGAGTCACCCTGCTAATAAGATCCTCAACCCGAATATCAGATGAATCTCTAGGGTTTTTATACTTTTCATGTTTTTTGTCTCCAATAAAACAACCCAGTTGCTTAATAGCCAAAAACCCTACAAAAAAAAAAAGAAGGGAAAATGCAAGAAACCCGAACTTCTTTTTTCTTCAATTTATGGAAAGTGGAGACAATTTCATATTAATATTTTATAGGAAAAACACAAACCATGAATAGCCCCACATATAGATTTGGAACATACAGCTTTATAACTCTGTCAATGAAAAAAACAGATTTAGATATGGAACACACATGCTTAACTCAATAAGAGAAGTAAGCAACCCCGTGGACCTCATTTGCAAATGAGATCTTCTTTTTTGGTTTAAAACGCTACGACACTTCCGTCCCAAATGTTGAATAAGGACACTTTTTATTCGTCGCAACTTGTGTCACAAATCTAAAAAAAAATCTTGTTTATAAATAGACAAGACAAACATTATATAATGAGTTAAAAAAAAAAAAAAAAGGCAAAACATTGCACGGACTTTTTACGGAGATGATCTCCGACTTTTGGGTAAATGTTAAAAAAATTTAGAGATATATTTTTGAAAATTTCAACAATTTTAACCACTTTTAATTGCGGAATACACACTCATAAAACAACAAAATTAATGCATTGATAGTAAAAACTATCTATCTAACTCGTTTTCCATTAGGTCTAAGTTATCAAACACTTAAAATCTTTCTATTTCATAACCTAAAAATCAATTTCTACGCAATTTTATATAAACTCAATAAAGTTTACAAAAAACTTACAATTTGTGTCTTGAAATTGTCTATTGTTGTTCAATGTTGTTTGAAGTCGGATGTTTAATGAAGATTGATATTGTTTAATGTTGCTTGAATATGTTATGAGTGAATTTGAGATAATGGGGCCAGACATTGTTTGTAAAAATGGGTTTTGAAAGATTTTGAATAAGTGAGGAAGGAGAAGAGACTCTGGCACGTATTTGAGCAAAAAGTGTTTGGAGATGCATCTCCGAAATATTTTTGCGTAAAATTAGAGTATGGTAAAAAATTATATTAAATTTGAATACGTCGGAAATACATCTACGTAATATATATGGAGTCCGAAGATTATCTCCGAAATCTGAAAAGACATAATTGTATGTTCATCCTATTAATGCATCCTTTTAAAAAATAAAAATAAAAACCTTAATATATTGTGTTTGTTGATGACACATAACCTTGTGGCATGTGACGGGCCCAAATAATAATCCAAACTCAAACCATTGTAGAATTCATACTTGGCATTGTCTTTGTTCCATTCCTTTGGATGACACCTACTCTTGTGGCATGTGTGGAAGTTGCACGTGTTTAAAGTGACGAGTAACATTAAGATTGTTTGTTGCTGGAAATACACTTGTTTTCTTGCATCTAATCCTTGTAGTTGTATTTGACCTAAATTGAAAGTTAATAAGACAAAGTGTCTATGTTTTATTTATGGTTCAGAACCACTTTTCTTAATAATACAATGCAGCCCTGAAATTTACATGTCATGTAGTGAGTTATTTCATAAACTATCTATTTAGGTTTTAACACTCTCAAATGTAAAAGACACCTTTTTAATGATGATTATGGTGAATATTATTATTACTGTTATCATTATTATTATTATACATCACTAAAATAATCCAACATCAAGACTCCTCAACAAGTAAAAAAAGCTCCTACAAAATCCAACATTAAGGCACCTCGGCCCATCAAAAATTATCGTACAAAATCCAAAATTAAGGCACCTCGCCGTTTAGCGACAAACATTCCAGCAAGATGCAATGGAAGGTTAGTAGAACAACTCAAGGCATTTATTCTATATTCTCATAGTTCTAAACTAGTTATTATGCTATAATTTCTATTCACCAACACGTTTCTGTTTATTCTTCATGCTGGTAGATTGAATATTTAGATTTCATTTTATTGTATCTATAGAAATAGATTTTTCTTCTTATATGTATTCCAATTATGTTGACTTCAAAATTTATTCTGTCCTCATAGTTCTGCACATCAGATAGATGGGTCTGTTGCTTTCATGATACAGATTTCTCACATTTTATATACTTTAGGGAATACAAGGTTCAAAAGTGTCTGTTCCTCTCAAATTATGTGGCTGTGAAAAAGCTTAATTTTTCAACTGAACCTGAATCAAATAACGAGTTTCTGACCCAGGCATTTTTCTTCTATCAGCTAAACAAACAGTTTTAATCTATACACAGGAATAGTGTTGGTTCCTGCATTCACTTTATTTTCTTTCTCATTATTTTCTATTTCAGGTTTCCATGGTCTCAAGATTGAAGAATGACTATTTTGTTAAATTGCATGGATACTATGTTGAAGGAAATCTTCGTGTACTTGCATACTAGTTTGCTACTATGGGCTCTCTTCATGACATTCTACACGGTAGAGAGGGAGTTCAAGGGGAACAACCCGGGCCAACTCTTAACTGGATGCAGCGAGTTAGAATTGCAGTTGATGCAGCAAGGGGATTAGAATATTTACATTAGAAAGTTCAACCATCAATAATACATAGGGATATTAGGTCAAGCAATGTGCTTATCTTTGAAGACTACAGAGCTAAGATAGCTGATTTTAACCTCTCAAATCAGGCCTCTGACATGGCTGCACGCCTTCATTATACCCATGTGTATTGTGAACATTTAGATTTGATTTAGTAAACTTTAGAATTTCTATTTGTTTTAGTTTTATTTTAGTAACTTTAAGATTTTATTTCATTTAGATTTGATTTAATAACTTTAGAATTTTATTTGTTTTAGTTTTATTTTAATAAATTTTAGAATTTTATTTCATTTAAATTTGATTTAGTAAACTTTAGAATTTTATTTGTTTTAGTTTTAATTTAGTAAACTTTAGAATTTTATTTATTTTAGTTTAGTTTAATAACTTTAGAATTTTATTTGACTTTATTTAGTAAATTTTAGAATTTTATTTGTTTAGTTTAGTGACTTTAGAACTTTATTTGATTTAGAATTAGTTTATAATTTTTATTTGATTTAGAATTACTTTAATAAGTTTATAATTTTTATTTGATTTAGAATTAGTTTAATAAGTTTATAATTTTTGTTTGATTTAGAATTAGTTTAATAAGTTTATAATTTATTTGATTTAGAATTAGTTTAATATTTTTAGAATTTTATTTGATTTAGATTAGTAACTTTAGAACCTTTTTTTTGTTTTAGATTAGCAACCTTGGAATTTTAATTTAGTTTAAATTTAATTTACTAATTTTAAAATTTTTATTTAGTTTAGATCTAATTTAGTAATTTTAGAACTATTTTTACAACCTTAGAATTTGTAGTTAGTTTAGAATTATTTTAGTAAGAAATCTTGATTTTTAATTTAGTTCAAATAGCTTCTTTAGATAATTACTTACACTCTCTTTTATTTGTATTTAAATATCTCTGTAATTTTAAAACCCACCCCTTTTGAGTCGAAACTTCGATATTAGGTCGTGTCTTTGAAATCTCATTCTCACTCATTTTAACCAAACAAACCAAAAACACTCTTTAATCATTACTTGAATATATCTTAAAACTTGCAAAACAATCAACAAATCAAAACTCCCCTAAGGGCATGTTATCTCCGTTCTACCGCAATATCAGCCGTGCCTATTGCTAGAATGCGTGCGTTAATGTCGCCCACTAAAAAAACACAAACAAATCAACCTTTTTCTAGAGGAACTACGGTGTTCTGATTCCTTCATTAGATACGTAGGCAAAGGGTCGCGAAACCCTCACGAACGCAATAATCAAAGAAACCATTCATTTCCCTTTAAGCAAGCATAGTTGTAGGTAAACACACCCTTTAAGACAAACTAACAAAATGGATCCCGTTGAGTACAACGGATGTGAGGGTGCTAATACCTTCCCCTTTTTCTTGGTCGCAAGACCATCTTATCCATTCCCTTGTGGCTTTATCGATATTTCCCCTTCCTTCGGGATAAATAAAGTTCAGTGGCGGCTCTGTGTTTTCTGCCGGTGGCTTCAGGTTCTTCGATGACTTTGAGCAGATCCATGAGTACAACTGGAGGACACTTGTTTGGTCTACTTGTATTCTAAGTTATCTGAAGGCGAAACATGTGGCAAACAGCATCACACTATTGACGATATATTTCTTGGTCTTTTACTGTTTGTATGTCATTTTCATTACATTATTGCAACACGGTTACTAGCGATTGATTCATGTGTTCCAACACTTTTCAGACTTGGATCCTTCATCACTTCCCACATATCTCTTGTTGGTCATGTGTGCCGACTTACATTAAGTATATGCCACGTGCTTCTGATTCGTCCCTAGAAATTCCCAAAATAAATTGTGAAAGATTTTCCTCAAATTGGAACACCATCTCAAGTATATTTCGGAATTAATTTTGAGTTAAAAAAAGTAATTTATTTCTTCATATATATATATATATATATATATATATATATATATATATATATATATATATATATATATATATATATATATATATATATATATATATATATATATATATATATACTAATCAAATAACTAAAATTAACAAATGTTTTCGTAGTTTGAAAAAAAATAGTGGTTAGATGAACTACTCACTTGTGGTTTGACTATGCGCAATATGCTTGCAAGCTATTTGACTTAAAAACATTGGTTAAAATTCAAATATACAGGATTTGAAATAGAATTTTATGGGAATTAATCCATATAATAACAACCTATATGTGGTTTGATGGTGCACAATATGCGCTTGTAAGCTATTTGAATTCAAAAAAAATGGTTAAAATTCGATATGCAGAGATTTGAAATAGAATTTTAGGGGATTAACATGATCCATATACTAACAACCTTTATCAGACGAATATCCACCCAGCATTCCAAATACAAATCCAACCGGCTCAATAATTCTCTGTGCAAAAGTTTGTGGTGCAGGTGCGGTAGCCTTCTCAAGGATTTGGAGTGCTTTAACAACCATGCTCATATTAGGCCTTAAATCAGCTTCATCCTGCACACACCGTGCTGCTACAGGTACAGCTGCAAGCTGCATAATCAATAATATTTATAGTTACAGCTAACCTTAGAATAAAATATCCAATGTATTATTGATTATGCAGCTTGCAGCTGTACCTGTAGCAGCACGGTGTGTACAGGATGAAGCTGATTTAAGGCCTAATATGAGCATTGTTGTTAAAGCACTCCAAATCCTTGAGAAGGCTCCCGCACCTGCACCACAAACTTTTGCACATAGAATTATTGAGCCGGTTGGATTTGTATTTGGAATGCTGGGTGGATATTCGTCTGATAAAGGTTGTTAGTATATGGATCATGTTAATCCCCTAAAATTCTATTTCAAATCTCTGCATATCGAATTTTAACCATTTTTTTTTGAATTCAAATAGCTTACAAGCGCATATTGCGCACGATCAAACCACATATAGGTTATTATATGGATTAATTCCCATAAAATTCTATTTCAAATTCTGTATATTTGAATTTTAACCAATGTTTTTAAGTCAAATAGCTTGCAAGCATATTGCGCATAGTCAAACCACACGTGAGTAGTTCATTTAACCACTATTTCTTTTTCAAACTACGAAAACATTTGTTAACTTTAGTTATTTGATTAATATATATAATATATATATATATATATATATATATATATATATATATATATATATATATATATATATATATATATATATATATATATATATATATATATATATATATATATATATATATATATATATATATATATATATATATATATATATATGAAGAAATAAATTACTTTTTTTTAACTCAAAATTAATTCCGAAATATACTTGAGATGGTGTTCCAATTTGAGGAAAATCTTTCACAATTTATTTTGGGAATTTCTTATATATACATGAAAAACACACTATGAAAATTAGATGTATCTCCTTCTAAGAGGGACGAATCAGAAGCACGTGGCATATACTTAATGTAAGTCGGCACACATGACCAACAAGAGATATGTAACAAGAGATATGTGGGAAGTGATGAAGGATCCAAGTCTGAAAAGTGTTGGAACACATGAATCAAGGTGTTGCAATAATGTAATGAAAATGACATACAAACACTAAAAGACCAAGAAATATATCGTCAATAGTGTGATGTTGTTTGCCACATGTTTCGCCTCCACATACGGCCTTCAGATAACTTAGAACATACGACCTTCAGATAACTTAGAATACAAGTAGACCAAACAAGCGTCCTCCAGTTGTACTCATGGATCTGCTCAAAGTCATCGAAGAACCTGAAGCCACCGGCAGAAAACACAGAGCCGCCACAGAACTTTATTTATCCCGAAGGAAGGGGAAATATCGATAAAACCACAAGGGAATGGATAAGATGGTCTTGCGACCAAGAGAAAGGGCAAGGGAGTCCGTTATGCGAGGGGAATGTATTAAAACCCCTCACATCCGTTGTACTCAACGGGATCCATTTTGTTAGTTTGTCTTAAATGGTGTGTTTACCTACAACTATGCTTGCTTAAAGGGAAATGAATGGTTTCTTTGATTATTGCGTTCGTGAGGGTTTCGCGAGCCGGGAGTTTTGATTTGTTGAGTGTTTTGCAAGTTTTAAGATATATTCAAGTAATGATTAAAGAGTGTTTTTGGATTTTTGGTTTGTTTGGTTAAAATGAGTGAGAATGAGATTTCGAAGACACAACGACCTAATGTCGAAGTTTCGACTCAAAATGGGGTGGATTTTAAAATTACAGAGATATTTAAATACAAATAAAAGAGAGTGTAACTAATTATCTAAAGAAGCTATTTGAACTAAATTAAAAATCAAGATTTCTTATTAAAATAATTCTAAACTAACTACAAATTGTAAGGTTGTAAAAATAGTTCTAAAATTACTAAATTAGATCTAAACTAAATAAAAAATTTAAAAATAGTAAATTAAATTTAAACTAAATTAAAATTCCAAGGTTGCTAATCTAAAACAAAAAAAAAGTTCTAAAGTTACTAAACTAAATCTAAATCAAATAAAATTCTAAAAATATTAAACTAATTCTAAATCAAATAAATTATAAACTTATTAAACTAATTCTAAATCAAATAAAAATTATAAATTTATTAAACTAATTCTAAATCAAATAAAGTTCTAAAGTCACTAAACTAAACAACTAAAATTCTAAAGTTAACTAAATAAAATCAAATAAAATTCTAAAGTTATTAAACTAAACTAAAACAAATAAAATTCTAAAATTTACTAAATAAAGTCAAATAAAATTCTAAAGTTATTAAACTAAACTAAAACAAATAAAATTCTAAAGTTTACTAAATTAAAACTAAAACAAATAAAATTCTAAAGTTTACTAAATCAAATCTAAATGAAATAAAATTCTAAAATTTACTAAAATAAAACTAATAAAATTCTAAAGTTATTAAATCAAATCTAAATGAAATAAAATCTTAAAGTTACTAAAATAAAATTAAAACAAATAGAAATTCTAAAGTTTACTAAATCAAATCTAAATGAAATAAAATCCTAAAGTTACTATAATAAAACTAAAACAAATAGAATTTTAAAGTTTATTAAATTAAAACTGGTTACTGCATATCAATCTTGCCAATTGAACTATATTATTTAACTGTTTTAACTATACTTCTAATAACAAATAAAAGAAAAATTGACGAAAAACAAGCTGGACTAGCAGGCCCAATGAACCGACCCGTTTGAAAGGATAAGGAAAGAAGAAAATCTTAATTGCATCTATAGGGGGCGCGACGGCTGGTTTTTTTTTTGAGAAAGAGGGAAAGTTAAAATTAATTTTTTGTTATTCCAATAACTCACATAAAACAAAATATATTATCCTTCTTTTTCTCAAATTCCCAATCTGGAAACAAAACCATACTCCCCATGTTCATCCTCATATTTTCTCTACTTCAATTGTAAACAACAATAAAACCAACTCCTTCCTGCAGTACCGTAACCACAAACGGCCTCCGTCTTCGTCACGCATAACTCTCTCAAACAACAGCTTCACGATTCCTCTCTTTCAATTCAAATACTCAAACTCTCTTATCTTTTCAAACACAAACAAGCAATAAACTCATTACAAAATTCACAAATAAACATAAGGAATAAAAGAGATTGGTGCTTACCTGTGATTCCGGTGGGAAGGAGCGGAGCAACGTGTGGGTTTGGTCGGTGTTTGGACAGTGGAATCTGACCGGTGCTCACCTTGTGGTGCTTTAAAATCCGTCGTCTGGAGTTGGGCCGCCGAAGGGATCTCGGTCGGAGGAGGACACGGTCGTGGCGTAATCGGGCTGCTCCAACTTTGTTCTTCTCCTTCTTTCCTTTGATTGAAGTTGTTGTTAGAAACGGAATCGGATCCTTTTCACTGTGGTTTTATTTTAATTTTTTCCTGCATTATGATTATTATTATTGTCACAGGTTTGGAGTGGTGGGGTTTGAAGCTAATGTGAAATTGGATGGAGGAGAGTGGATCCTGTTGTGAGGTGGTGGTTTTAGAAACAGAAATTAAAAGGGATGATGTGATGGTATATGGAAATAACAGAGGAGGTTTGTTTTGGAATGATGGTAGTGGGTATTGACGAAGGATGAAGATGGTTGTGGAAGGCGGAGCAGTGTGGCTTTGGGTGGTGGTGGTGTTTGCGTCATGGTATCGTCCGAGGTTGATTAGTTTGTCGTCTCTGATCGGTGATGAGTTGTGGAGTTTGGTGACGGGTCCGTCGAGCGAGAATGGACTGCCATCTCCCGGAAAAGGTTTTGATTCCGCGTTTTCTTCCTTATTTCTGCAATCAAACAAACAGAACAAACACAACAATTTTCCAGATTTTGAACTCACTTTTGTTTATGTTGATAAATGTATGAAAATAGTGTTTTTGTGTGGTTTGTGATTGTATTGGTCTATATAGGATTGGGAATGGATTTTTTTTATCTGGTTCTTCAAAGTATGCTTATATGAATAATTTACAGGTGAAGGATTTTTTTGAGAGGGAAAATTGGAGCCAAGATTTTGAAATGAAAAACTAAATTGATGCACTGGTTTAGTGCCTTTCCAATGCAGGGAATTGTTTTTTCTATTTTAATGCAATTGTTGGATTGGTTTTATGTAGGTAAAGTGACTGTTTTTTTGTTGTTGTTTTATGGACAGGTTTGGAACAACATGACAGGCTGATTTTAGAAAGCAACATAGCAATGCAGTAATACTGCTTTTTGAAGTTGAACTTTGAATGGAATTTGAGACATAGTGGATGTTGTTAAATCCTGACCTTTGCTGTTGTGGTCCCAAATTTTTCTTTCTTATTTTATTTGACAACAAGACAAATATTTTTTTTTATAAAAAAATCAAATCAATTTAAACAGCATTGGTTTGATTTGGTGTTTATTTCTAAAAACCAACTAAATCAAATTAAACCGCGCGCATTTTTCTCTTGCGGTTTAAATGATTTTTAGAATAAAAATCGTCCAAACCGCACCGCGAAGATCCCTAATTACATCAATCATTAAAATCATCGCGACGGATAGAAAAATATTGTAAATTTCGAGTAGCAACAGTTATAACACCACCATTAAGGTAAATTCTTTTTTTAATTCTCTTTGCCTCAGTTTCAAACCATCGTGAGTTTGTAATTTTGGTTGTTCTAACGGTTATAATTTGAACTTATTTATTTAAATTATTAAAATCTCAATTTTTTTTATTTATAGTATTAGATTTTATAATATTATTATTTTATTCTACTTACATTATTTTATTATAATATCCTTCTAATTTTATTTTATTATTTATAATATTATTTTTTATCACTTTTTAACGTAATAAAAAGTCAATCACAAACATCTAAAATCAAATAAGCATCATGATATAAAAAAAATATGAGTTTCATAATCATGTCATGTAGTACAATAAATCGAAAATATATCAAATTCTAATGTTATAATAATAAGTATCATTAGCTCTTTGCTTGTTGTTTGTTCACATTTCAACGCCTTGCAGATCAAGATTCAGAAGACTCCAACCTTGCTCTAGGCCCTTCCAACAAAGTAAGCACTTAACTTTTGGATTGGTTCTCCGGCTACCAACACCATCTTCACCAATACATTATCCATCCAGCCTCTTGCTGTTATCATCAGACACAACTTGTGCACATAGCAGTAGAGTTTTGAGGAATACTTTTGAGTCAAAATTTTGTTCAGTAGCTACATGCCATAACGATCACCAACAACTATTCATAATTGTATTTAAGAAACACAACCTACAAACAGAATAAAACTGTTATGGAACCAGCTTGACAGAAAAAGATCTAAATAATAGCAAAAATATACTGAAGGAAACTAAATTCAAGCTAAATGATGACAGATAATTAATCTATGAAGAGTACTAATCCAGAAGTCTACATATAATCTCCAGGAATTGCCATACCCTTCTTGATTAAATTTCTCTTCTGTAGGTTACAGGAATGCTACCAAAGAGAGTGAGGGATAGGTTTAGGTTCCACATTTTTTTTTACCAAATTTAAAAGTGCATGTGTGTTTAGATGTGTTTTTCAGACACTGACAACTCTGTTCTTATCAACCATACAGCATACAATGCACAACTACTGTACTAGCGCGCACACACACATCACATTAATGCTACCAGTTAAGCGTACAATGCACAATTAATGTACCTGCGGGATCTTAAACACATTCGTTGTAGTGAAAACAGTCCCTGCATCAAGTGGAAATTGCCTAATGACCTTATGAGGGCTTTGCTTCTGCACACATGAGATGACCTGCATACGATTCGAATTGTTCACAATATTCCTCCATAATCCTTTTTTGTTTAAGACTTAGCAACTCAAACACATTATGCATCACTGAATTCCCATTGTTTGTACCATGTAAGTGTCTTCCCTTCCATTGCAACCATAATTGCTTGCCTCTCTTCTTTCAGATTTTGCTCCATGTTTTGTCTCGTGGCCAGCAAACCTTTGAATATGCGCTCCAGGCAGATATATATTCGGTAATAACTAACTCATAAAGCACTTGTCTCAGGCTTCTCGCTACACTTCAGTGGGGAAATTAGTAGGTCAACCTGAAATATAAGCACAGATTTTATTACAAAAAACACACTCGAAGGAAAACAACAATGCCGAAAATAAAACAAGATCGATAGAAACAACACGGCCAATAGAACACCAAAAGCCAATATTATAAAATATTCTATATCACATGATCATTGATTGACTTTGTAGAAAAGGAATATATATGCCAAGAGAGAACCAGGCTCTGTCATACTGTGTCAAGCATTATGATCCAAAATAATTGCATATCTTAAGCTTCTTACCTGTAACCAGTAGTATACAATTCCGGATGCCATAATAGTGTCCTATGAAAAAGTAATAGTCCCTCCCGGCTGTACTGAAGCCTATACGAACATTGAACAGAAAACAAACACAAACAAATATCAACGTTCAACAAACAAAAATATACTTTCAGCTCGCCGCAAATACCAAATTCGGACACCCTCCTTGCCCAGAAACAATACTTCACTCGGTACTAACTTCAACTAATTTCTGCTCCAACTCTTTCAACTTAATTTCAACAATTATTCTTCTCATCAGGCTGCGGATTCATCTCAAAGTTGGAAAACAAAGCAAGGGAAGTTTTGTTCCTCAAAGCTTGTTTCCCAGCTTCAGTGATAAAAGTATGACTTGGTAGAAGCTATTGTTAATCTAGCACAAACAAACATTCACCAACAAGTCACAAAACAATAACCATAGCCACACAACATGAATCACATTTAACTCCAAACAAACATTACCAACAAAGGAACATCTAGACATTTACATGGAAAATTAGTTTCTTTGTAAACAGAGTTATGGACATTAAAAAATTGGAATTCCAAGCCTGGTTGATAAAGTATCCTTCTAATATTCATTAAACGTATAAATCTAGTTTTCAGCAAAAATCTGTGGAATTGGAATGCTTCATCCCTAACCAAAAGACAAATATTTTCCATTAGTACCTAATTGACTCAATATAATACCTTAGAAAATGAAGTAAACAAAAAAGTCATTATTTTAACCTGTAACATTTGACCAATTTTCTCCACAAGAGTCACCCTGCTAATAAGATCCTCAACCCGAATATCAGATGAATCTCTAGGGTTTTTATACTTTTCATGTTTTTTGTCTCCAATAAAACAACCCAGTTGCTTAATAGCCAAAACCCTACACAAAAAAAAAGAAGGGAATTAAGTCACTTTAGCACCTCCTATGTATTGAGTCTAATGCAAGAAACCCGAACTTCTTTTTTCTTCAATTTATGGAAAGTGGAGACAATTTCATATTAATATTTTATAGGAAAAACACAAACCATGAATAGCCCCACATATAGATTTGGAACATACAGCTTTATAACTCTGTCAATGAAAAAAACAGATTTAGATATGGAACACACATGCTTAACTCAATAAGAGAATTAAGCAACCCCGTGGACCTCATTTGCAAATGATATCTTCTTTTTTTGGTTTAAAACGCTACGACACTTCCGTCCCAAATGTTGAATAAGGACACTTTTTATTCGTCGCAACTTGTGTCACAAATCTTAGACAAACATTATCTAATGAGTTTTAAAGAAAAAAAAGTAAAACATTGCACGGACTTTTTACGGAGATGATCTCCGACTTTTGGATAAATGTTAAAAAAATTTAGAGATACATTTTTTAAAATTTCAACAATTTTAACCATTTTTAATTGCGGAATACACACTCATAAAACAACAAAATTAATGCATTGATAGTAAAAACTACCTATCTAACTCGTTTCTTATTAGGTCTAAGTTATCAAACACTTAAAATCTTTCTATTTCATAACCTAAAAATCAATTTCTACGCAATTTTATGTAAACTCAATAAAGTTTACAAAAAACTTACAATTTGTGTCTTGAAATTGTCTATTGTTGTTCAATATTGTTTGAAGTCGGATGTTTAATGAAGATTGATATTGTTTAATGTTGCTTGAATATGTTATCAGTGAGTTTGAGATAATGGGGCCAGACAGTGTTTGAAAAAATTGGTTTTGAAAGATTTTGAATAAGTGAGGAAGGAGAAGAGACTCTGGCACGTATTTGAACAAAAAGCGTTTGGAGATGCATCTCCGAAATATTTTTGCGTAAAATTAGAATATGATAAAAAATTATACTAAATTTGAATACGTCCGAAAATACATCTACGTAATGTATATGTAGATGTATCTCTATTAAAATTTTTCCACTTATTCAAAAATATATTGAAGTTTGATGCAAGTATATTGAAGTTTGATGCGTCCGAAGATTATCTCCGAAATCTGAAAAGACATAATTGTATTTTCATCCTATTAATGCATACTTTAAAAATATAAAAAAAAAACTTGATATATTGTGTTTGTTGATGACACATAACCTTGTGGCATGTGACGGGCCCAAATAATAATCCAAACTCAAACCATTGTAGAATTCATACTTGGCATTGTCTTTGTTCCATACCTTTGGATGACACCTACTCTTGTGGCATGTGTGGAAGTTGCACGTGTTTAAAGTGACGAGTAACATTAAGATTGTTTGTTGCTGGAAATACACTTGTTTTCTTGCATCTAATCCTTGTAGTTGTATTTGACCTAAATTGAAAGTTAATAAGACAAAGTGTCTATGTTTTATTTATGGTTCAGAACCACTTTTCTTAATAATACAATGCAGCCCTGAAATTTACATGTCATGTAGTGAGTTATTTCATAAACTATCTATTTAGGTTTTAACACTCTCAAATGTAAAAGACACCTTTTTAATGATGATTATGGTGAATATTATTATTACTGTTATCATTATTATTATTATACATCACTAAAATAAACCATCTAAATATTATTTCATAAGCAGATAAAAAAACTAAAGGATTAAACATAAATATTCTAAAAGAATGCATTCTACAGTCTGCAGGCAGGCAGATATTATCTTTCAGCTTCAAGGTTGTCTTCAAGTTGAACAGCGCTGTAATTTTGAGAATGCATCTACACAAATAGAAGAGGGTTAGATTAAAGAATTATAAAAAAGTTCAACATCAAAGGAATAACACAAGATAACTCAGAAGTAGAAAATCAAATTTCCAAAACTACAATTGAGAGGTGTTCTAAACCTTAAGAAATGAATGCTCTTTAACTATTATTTATACTCAAGCATTTTTATAACTTGATCATTGAATTTACCCATGAATGTCAAAACTATAACATATATCAATCTACTTTTGAAGTAGTCGTGTAACTCGTGAGTATAAATTGTCATATGACTTAATACTTTCAAACTTTTTTTAACTTCACAGTATTATGACTCCAACCCAATGTGATAATGCTCTGTCCCAGAATTCAATATTGTGAAGATTTACTGCACATAAAAATCATAGTATGTATCATCACACCCAATGAGGAAACTTTCTTTTTTCAGAAGGATTCATTATGACTGCGTCTTTAACAATGATTTAAACAGCTCATGCCAATTCCAGCTACAATTAGATTACAATTAAATTGTAAGAAGCTAGCAAGCATTCATTAGCCTAAGATCTACAAAAATAGGGATAGTGGGTTTCATACCAAACCAAGGGCTTCTCTTGCGATCCCGTGACTGTCTTCATTGCAAACTTTACCAAAGAGAAGCATAAGGTGTTCTCTTTGTTCTAGTTTCAAGTGTTTCGCTAGGCCTCGGCTAACCATCTCCATTTCAGGCTGCAGAGAAACACCCAAAATAAGTGCTATTAGAAAGCAACAAGTTAATTCAGAACTCATAGATTGCAGCAGACAAGGTAAGCACAAAAGTCTCTATATCTACTCATCCAAAACAACATCTAATGTAAATTCTAAAGAGTGGCCATTTCAGACACGTATAACGATCGAGCAAGTATTCACTACTCATTTACACTGAGTCAAAGATAACATTAAACTATCGAAAAATGGATGAATACGACAGTCAAAAGTTGTAGCCAAGACACTGACGTAAACAGTAATTCCAGTGGTTAATAAAGGATAATTATAAAGAGAGAACTACAACTGAGTTCTATCATACTGAGTGAGGAGTGAAGAAAACAATAAACAAATGTTTATTCAAGAGAAGTGGAAAAATTCAATGGAAATATTTTTGCAAATTATTGTGTAAGGTACAAACCGAAGATTCCTCGGGAGGAAATACTTGTAGGATAAGGCACATCTTTGACAGTTCTCCCAAAGCATCAACATGTTTGCCTTGCATTTCCAGAGCCTATAATTGAAAAGAAAAAAAAATCATTAGTTTTTTAATGGAGCCTATACAAATGAATTTCATAAAAAAAAAAGTTATCTGAGGCATAAAGTTCAAGCATTAAAGTTACACACTTTGAAGTACTCGTTCTTAAGAACCCTAATCAATTTAGAGAGCTTACAACAATTTGTCAGACATAAACTAGCATCCATCGAATTCTTTCATTTGTGTGACCATCATAGAAAATATTCATATTTAAGGGCATGAAGTTATGCAGTATCTATGAAAGATATAGGGATTTAGGGCATATTTCCAGTAACGGAAACTAATATAGACAGCCAACAGTATTCTAACCAAAAATATAACTGCCTTTATTATTCAAGTAGTTACAAACTTACAACAATGTAATCTTGTTGAAACCCAAATGCTTAAAGAAAAGATTAAAAGATCATGGATTAAAAGTAAGAAAATTACCCAAGCCTGCAAAAGACAAGCGCGTGTACGTGAAGCCACAGCTGCAGACACAATTGTTGCAGCGCGAACATTTTCAAGGCCGATGTTTTCCGCAAATCCAGCAAGGAATTGTTGAGAATCCTCACCATAAATACTAACTGAAGTAGAGTAAGTTGGTGCCCTGAATATAAACAAAATAATCGTTAAAACAGAAGAATACTGCACGAATAACAGCTGCTACCTAGCAGAAAACAAGGTATAGACACAAATGCAAGCAGGCCTATGAAGATCACACCTGCTGCAAGCGTCTAAAACAAAATTAACAGATGTTCGATACAAGGAGTCCCGAATATTCGCTGGTTCAACCGACACTTGCACGCCAGAATTTCGGCATAGTTGACGTAACTGTTCAAATGTACAGGAGAAAAAACATTGACGTCATTAAGAGAACAAATTTCTTTTAGCTGTAGAAAGGATTTATTATATGCACACTTCATTAAAAGAATTAGATCCCATCGGTATGGTATTTTAATTATTCAAATTCAATGTTCATCATCAAAGACAAATGCTTAACATGGATTTTATAACTACACAAAACCTTGGTACCGTGTTTCATTATGCCAATTAATATATTACTAAAATGAATAATTTGTATTTTAATAGCCATGCAGTTGCACTAACTCAGACAGAACCATATTAACTTGTTTGTTGTTGTTGTAGAAGAGTGTACTAAAGGCTTATAATGTTTGACTTCTAACTTTTTGACTTTCCTTCATCTAATTTGTTTTACTACAGAATCCACAAATATTCTATCTACATGTTTAAACCACCTAAACATAATTTCCACCATCTTTTCTACTATAGGTGTTACTCCATCCTTCTTTCCAATGTCATATATAAGTCTATCTCGTCTAGTCTTATCGTACATCCAACGCAACACTTTCATCTATGTTGCATTTAGTTAGTTTTCGTGTTGGTTCTTTACAAGTCAACATTCTGTCGCATACAACATCGCCGGTTTCACAGTTGTTCGATACAAATTTCCTTTCAATTTGAGCGGTGTTTTCGTATCACATAAAATTTTCCAATAATTAAAACAACAAATACTACATAAAACTGAATCAAGTAAAACAGTGTGAGAAAAAACTAACTTGTATGATATCACTCTCGGAGATGTCTTTTGCAGCCATTCTACTGTCAATGATTGCTGGAAATCAAGTGGGTAAGTTGCAACTTGAATTAAAGGATGGAAAACAGTAGAGAAATTAGAAGAGTATCTTTACCTACAATACAACACAAGAAAGTGCATAACTAAACAGACTCGTGATAATAATTTTAAACCTCGATAGCAGTTGAGTTACTAAACATAAAGCAGTTTGTATGTAAGAAATGAATATCAAACTACAAAACCATTAATTAGTTTAGTTCCGAAAGTATCAATCTCTCACTAATTTAGTCCCGAAAATATATATGTATAATAAGTTCTCCCTAAAATATATGGAATTCGTCACCTTACTTCTTAAAAGTATACGACAATTAGGCATGTTAGTCCATAACATCTTAATTTGAAGAGGTTACAACAACAACAAACTTTATCCCCACTAAGTAGGTTCGACTACATGGATCAAACATCATAATGTCCTATCAAATATCATACTTCTATCTAACTAGGCATGACAACAAAATCCAACCCCGACCAGAACCGTCCCGAATTCATTGGAAGAAAAAAAACGGTTTAATTGGAAGAGGGGAAGGATGCGGGGAAAACCCGAATTTTAAAAATGGGGCGGGTGTTCAATACTCATCCCCGGCTAGGTTTGGAGGCAGGGGAGGAGCTAATAATGCTGAAAACCGCCCCCGCCCGCCCTGTTGCCATACCTATATCTAACTCATTAATCTTGAGATATTTCTTAAGAATTTTTCATATAGTTTTTCTAGGTCTTTCTCTATATCTACTGGTTTGACTACCCTTCGTCTCATCTATGTTTTTCACTATATAAAACACATGTCTTCTCTCTACAAGTCAAAACCACCTTAGTCTAGTTTTCACCATCTCTTTTACCACCTATCTCAACTCTTTTTTTTTTTTGGGTCTAGTAAACTTATGGTGAATATGTGATGTTGCAGGTTCAAACTCACCTCTCTACCCAACAACTAAGTTGCCCTTAAGGGGACATCTCAAGTCTCTCTTTAATGTTGTCATTTCTAATCATATCTCATCTAGTCTATTTTACATGTAAAGCAATATCTTTATCTATGCTATCACTAAATTGACAAACTATACATAAATTAAAGACAGTTTGTAAACAAAATTGAAAAGAGAGAGTGAGAGATAGTTTAGTGAACATTAAAGTAAACATGAGCGCATATGAGTTATTATTATCATTAACAGTAAAACCAAAAAGTGTTAAATGAGAGCAAGAAAAACCTCGAACCAGTCTGTAAGCATCCCTTTTATATTCCTCTTGCTCATTTAGGTCAAAATCAAAACCATTATAACTGGAACCATTAACAATTGGCCACCATTTGGGCAATTTCCTTTGAACTGCAACCCTATTATTCTTCAAAGACCGCTTAATCGGCGCCGTAACGCCGCTCCTTGGACCCAATCCAACCACCACCTCTTTCCCTCCAAGACTCCGGTCTCTCCTCACCATAGCCTTATCATAACCAGCCGCGTTCCGCCGCCACGGCGCAAACCTAGAAACCAATTCCACCAACACTCTCATAACCGAAAACGCTACTAGCGTCAAAGCAGCTGAAGTTCCGACGAAGTGAATAGTCGAAGGCCGGCACGAAACGACGACTCTCCGATTTTCGTCGAGAGTGAACAAGGTTTGTAAATCGCGGTATGCTGATTTACCGGAGGAAACGAATTCACGGATGTTGGAATGGAAGGAAGGGAAGATTGTGAGGTCTATGACGGTTTCGAGCTTAGGTTCTGAGAAGATGGTGGTGGTGCTAGGGGCGGAGGGTTTGAGTTTGATGTGACGGCGGCTACGCCGGCGGGCGCGGTGGCCGAATGAAGCGGTGACGAGGCGGGAAAAGCATGGTGGTGAAATAGGAGAATGAGAAGGAAGAGTGGGAGAAAAAATCGACATATCAAAACGCTACTACATACATGTGTTGTGATTTCACTGTGACAACTAAGCTTTAATTCACACCATAGCATAAGAAATAACAACTAGCTCAAGCAAAACCGATGTAAAATATAAATATATACTTGCCATGATTTTGTCTTATTTATATTATCTTTTCCACTAGACCAACCCTACATGAATCCAAAATAAATAAATCTCATCCATCCATTTCTTTTTGTTATTGTGTGCTTTTCCACATTGTTTAGATGAGTAGAGAAATTAAAAAGAAAGAAAATAGAAGGAATGCAAATTAAAGGATAGAAAGTTAATTAAAAGTGAATAGAAAGTAAAATGGTTTGTAACTTGTTTTGGTAAGAATAAAAATGAAAAAAAAAAATTTGTTAAATGACCTTTCTTTTTAATATTGTGACCGATACAAATGAAGTAAGTTTGAATTTCAAAATGTGAGATATTATATCGAACTCTATTGAGTCGAAGAGTAGTTTCTAGTTCGACAGAACTTAAGTGTGTCTTCGAAATATGTTTACATGCTGGTATCGAAGACTCACATACTATAGTCGAAGTGTGTTTTAATATGTGGGTGTGGAAATGTTAAGGTTGTTAGTATTTTGGATTGGGCATATTTGTTATGTCAAATTGTTTAAGTTAGTTTGTACCTTAAGTTAGCTTGTAATAGGTATTTGTGAAAAAGTTCATTAATTTAATATATTAGGTTTATTATAAATATCATACTAATCTCTCATCATTGTATATTGCAAATTCTAATTTAGGGTAAGAGTGTTATTTGTTATTCTTGTGTACTTGTAATCTTGTTTGAAGAGAAAATAAATAATAACAATTATAACTAATCCATATTATTAATCTTGTTTATCATCTTTTCTACCTTAAAGGTTTTCCTCTAATAAAAAAACCTTTTATACTTTATTTCAAAGACATCATGTTTCACAATACACAAAAAATTATATCTTCAAGACTATCATTTCCTCTACTTTTTCACATATTTCAAACAAACTATTTAAGTAGTATTTATATATTTATACTTAATTTTAAGTTTTTTAAATTTTAAAATATATATTTTCTTGATAAAAACTGAATATTTCTTTATACAATTACAAAAACTATTTTTGTTCAATGCCTTCTTCTTCAAATCTTCTTGGGATATTGTTAAGAAGGATGTCAAGGAATCAATCTTGAAATTCTTCGATACTTGCAAAATGTATTTGGCGATAAATTGCTCTCTTGTTATGTTAGTTCCAAAATCTCAGGATGCAACTGCTATCAAGGACATGCGGCCTATTGCGTGTTGTACCAGTGTATAAAATCATCTCTAAAGTTCTTACTGCTAGATTTGAGAAAATGATTAACATTGTGGTTCATGAAAATCAATCAATGTTTGTTCCTGACAGAGTTATCCATGACAACATCATGATGGCGTAAGAGCTGATCAAGTATGATTTAAATAGATATTCAAAAAGCTTATGACACTGTAGAATGGTCAACCCTCTGCTATATTATGACTTGTGTGACAACTGTCTCTTATAGATTTTCTATAAATGATATTTCATCAAAAATCTTTAAAGTTAAGCGTGGTCTAAGACATGAGATCTTATATCTCCCTTTTTTTTTGTTTTGATTATGGAATACTTGCATCGGATCCTTCAAGGTTTAAATCAAAACTCCAAATTTAATTTTTATCGAAAGCACAAGAGATTGAAGATTATTAACATCTGCTTTGCTAAGACCGATGTAAAATATACATTTGTCATAATTTTGTCTTATTTATATTTATGTTTTCTACTAGGCCAATCCTTCGTGAATCCAAAAAAAATAAATCCCATCCATCCTTTTTTTTTTGTTATGGTGTGTTTTTCCAGATTGTTTGGATGAGTAGAGAAATTAAACAGAAGATATGAAAATTAAAGAAAAGAAAGTGAATAGAAAGAAGAATATTTGTTAAGATGTTTGGTAAGAGTGAAAAGAAAGAAGGATATTTGCTAAATGATACTATTTCCTTTCAATATTGTGAGGGATACAAAAGAAGTAAGTTCGAACACTATTTTTTTTCTTCTACTTTTTCACATATTTTTAACAAACTATTTAAGTATAGATTATTAGATACGATTAAAATGGTATTTATAAATTATATATTTATACTTAATTTTATGTTTTTATATTTATAAAAAAAATTCGGTAGAAACCCGAATATTCCTTGTATACAATTACAAAAACTATTTTCTGTGGAAGATATTATCGAAATGCTTTGAGTTATATAACAAATTTTGTACCGTTATTTTAAAGGTTTATTTGGAAAATGATAATAAATATCTATCAATATGAAGATTGATTTACATATCGGAATATAATTGGTCAAATGAATGTTTTATTTAATAACAAATGTTTAAGTTTTATTAATGCAAAATTCATTTTCTTAACTTATTGGAGTGTTTTTAGTAAAAAAAAAAAACTATTGAAATATTTACGTTAATTTAATATTTAAACCTATTTATTTCAATTCGATGCATGTAAAACCACTAGCAAATTCCAACACAGATGCATCTTGTTTTTTCAAAAATGAAATTCAAGCGGTCGTAATTTTAAAAGTTAATTGATATAAGATTATAAAGTTATTTTAAAAGATCATTCACATTATTTCTTTAATTTTTTTCACATGAGGATACCAAACGACCAATCCCTTATAGGTGTTATCCTAATAGATACATGAACACGTAATTTAGGGACCAAATGTTAAATGTGTCTGCACTCTGCACCATGTTGGTATTGTCAAGTATACTTTAATTGTAAAGCAATAATGATTTGCTAAAAACATTAAGACACGTATATTTAGAAATACTCAGAACCATACATTAGATTTTATAAATACTCAGAACCATACATTAGATTTTTATGCATAGTCTGAAAATTATAACCATCCCAATTCTAAAACATAAGAGGCATTACAAGCTGGAAATTCAATTTTCAGATTGTCCAAAATATCTCCCTGAAATTGTAGCCAATATATTCAACATTACAACCTCATCATCCAGTTCAGCTTTTCCAGCACGAATGTTGGCACACTTTCGCAGCAGACTCCTGAGTGCAGCACAAGTGTCTGCATCAAGTGGAGCATCTACTGCTGCACATAGAGCAAAAAGCCACAAGCAATCATTTCTTGTGATGGTGTTTTCATGTTCCAGCAGGCGAATTCGTTTCAGCAACATTGATACTCGAGCTACAGAGTCCATTCCAAGGATTGCAGAAAGCAGGGGAGGAGTGGGAATATTGCTGCAAGTTTGATCTATGGAAGTTTTCAATCCAGCATTATCTAGAGGAGTGGGAATAATGTTATCCTTATCTTTGCCAGCCAAGATAGTAGGTTGATCAGCCTTAGCAATGCTCATGTTATTACAAAGTAGCATATCTCTGCTCATAACTCCAAAATCATTGCGAGATTGCATGGTGTTTGAACCTTCTTCAACAAGGCATGACAGATTCTGGAATAACAAATTAGGAAACAAGGGTCAGTCCTTAGTCTATATAGTACTAAAGAAAAATCAGTATACTCCATTCCCAAACCCAGTTACCAAGAACTTTAATTAGCATCCAAAAGTAATAAATAAAGAACGTAGATGATGATATTATTATGAGTCGAGTATATGGTTAAGTTTGGTCATGAGATTCGGGGATATAGCATTGATCCTTCCAAATGAGAAAATGAACGAAAACAAAAAGCAAAGACAAAGATAAGTTACCGCTCTTAGTGCAGAAAATTCTGCAAGAAATGCATCCTCCCACTGTTTCAATGGCAACAGATGCTCAGGACATTTGGCAATATCAGGAATCTGGGGCATATAAGGACTTTGATCCTTTGTAAGTTTACTTTTATCAAGTTTGGATATCTTCACATTAGGAATTTGATGTGCCTCCCACCTAAGCAAGAAAAGAGTTTGAGAAACATGTCATTTCTCTTACTAGGTAGGCAACAGTAAAGTTTCTTCAACTCGGCATCATTTAACAAATCAGAAACCTAGATCTCTACCAAAGTTGCTTATAGCTTATTGCCCTAGTACAAGTATGTTCTTGGTAACCCCTGCAAGAAATACCAGTCTCCAATTCCATCCCAACAAGATAATTTCCCAAAACTTAACCCACAAATATCACAACAATATTGAGAATCACTACTATAGAGGGCACAGATGAAAGTTACAGCAATACCTGACACGCCTAAGATATTCCCATCCGTCTTCCGGTGGACCAGAATCAAAATCAGGTTCTCCATCTACTTGAAAAGCAGGCCTCTGGATGCTGGCATAATCATCCTCACTATCATAATCTTCAATGCACTCTTCTGAAATTGCACCTCAAAGCAATAACAAAACTTTCAGCATTTATAGATGGATTGAAGAAATAATAACAGTATAATTTAGCACATGCAAGATCAATAATAAAGGCAAGAAGTATACTCATTCAAACACAATGTAGACAAGAAATTGAACTTTTCATTGAAAAATCAAAAATAAAGGCAAAAAGTGTACTCATTCAAACACAAAGTAGACAGGAAAATTGAACTTTCCATTGAAAAATCAAACAATATACAACCCAGTATCCTCATTACTGTATGAGCTAAGTAGTATTTCAACTTTACAATCAAGCCAAAAAACATGACTTTTCATATACAGTGACTTTATACAAGTAGCCATGCTACTGAAAAATCAGTGCCTAAGTACAAAAAAACTAGAACATAGTCAACAAATGTTGCAGTTAGATCTTTTCATGTTCCTTTCGCTCTTTCTTCAAAGTTCAATGGACATAGACATTCATATATCTGCATCTTCCATTCGCAGCACCCTCACCTGTCCATCACAGAAATTGAAAACATCAACATGACACAATCTGAGCTAACAACCATGACACAGTTAGACAGACACAAAATTACAAAAATCAGACCAAAATAGTTTTACATTTAAGATCGACGTTAACACGCAATCTCTACTAAGAAGCAAAGAATGATCAAGAAAAGCATTCAGTGTAAATTTCAGAAACACATCAATTTCACCACAATTTACAGCACAGAGAGTAAACATTATCACATATTAAAAATTCCTTTCTTCAGCCCAATTAACAAAACTCGTGTCAACATTACAACCCATTGTTCTTGAATCAAAACAAAACGATGTATGATTATGCAAGAAATACATAAAAAAAATTGATTTTTTGATAAAGAATTGAAAGAAAAGAATGTAAACAAGTACTGACCAGTGAGAATGGGTTTCTTGTTGGGAACGAACGGAATAGGGTTGCTGGGAGCGGCAATCAAAGCATCATACTCGCCGGTGAAGGCGGATTGAAGAGCAGCGTATATCTTCTTCCAGAATTTGCACTGCTGGGAGACATCCACAAACCTCAAAGCCTCCATTTCCTCTCGAGAGTACTTCCTCTCACCCTCGCTGCTGCTGCTACTGCTGCCGCCGATGACGATGTTTCTTGCAGCAAAACCCTCAGTCTCAGTGGCAGTTACAGCTTTGTTGTGAATCTTCTTGGAAGCTCTTCTTCTCGGAAGCTTTCCGATCTTCGGAATGCTGTCGAGCAACGCGGTTTCGTCGATCACCTCAATTCCCAAACCTAAGCGATTAGGTTTGGGGTTAGGTTTGTGAACAGGTTTGGGAATCGGAGGTGGGATCAAAGCGGATTCGAGTTCTTCCAAGAGGCGTTTCTTCTTCTCTTCGAGTTCACTGGTGTTTTGTTGCTGAGGAAATGCAATCGGTTCGGTTACGGCGGCGGTAGTGGCGGCGGCAAGAACGGGTTGTTCTTGAGAATTGAGGTCGGAAACGGAAAGTTCAGCCATGGCTGTGCGAAAGGGAGAAACTTGTTCGAAATTTGTGTGCTTTCTTTTTCGTTCTAATAGTATGAAATGAGTTCAGTTCTAAAATGGGTTTTGATTCTCGTTTTATAGCGCTAGATTCGGGTATAATGGGCCGGGTCGGGTTGTAATACAACTACCAAGTTTATTGGCCCGTGGAAGTTCATCCAACTACACGTGGCACTCTTCTAATATTTGCACCATTTTTTCTAACAATAATATTTCACACAAATATTTATTGGATATAAGAATTTTTTTTTTTTTAGTAATAACTAAGTATTAAAAAAAAACACAAATAATTATTTTTCCGTAGAAAATTATCAAATAATCATATTTCAGAAAATCTCATAATAGAGGCGTTAAGTGAGATGATGCGTGCATTTTAATTTTAGAAGGAGGCGTCAAGTGAGATGGCGCCTAGGTGCAACATGTTTGCCCTAAGTCATCTCAGGTGGCGCCTAAGTGCATTTAAGAGACAATTTTTTTTGTTTTCTATTTTAAATACGAGACAATAAGTAAACGATATAGCTTCATGAAACTTTAACTTTTCATTAACAAATGAACGATTACATAATGGAAAAAAATATGCATATTATTTAGTTGCCCCCCGAAACTCGGTAACGACCTGTGGTTCCGCATCCGCGTCCTCGCCTATCTCGTGGTGGGTTTCGCCGATTGCCTGTTGCGGTTGGATCGATGGCCCAGCGAAGTCAATGCGTTCAGGATCCATGAAATCAGTCAGATCACCATATCTGGAAGATCCGTTTTGGTACAGTCGGTTACTCGTGCTCTCAAAGTTTGGTCGTCTTGGGGATTCCATGGATGGTTTATAGCATCGATCGTCTGAGTAATGAGGGATAAAAATAATCCCATCTGAGCCATGCATCATCACCATTACGTCTCTGTCTGTTTTAACTTCCTCCAACCAAGATTGAGTTCTTCTAGTTGCAAGTGAGGTGACTGTGACGCTCCATGGAGTGAATGTGCCGAAATTTCATTTTCATCGGAGGTTTGGTGGCATAGAAAATAACATATCCATCTCCGGTGAAAATCATAGGAGATGTCATGACGCAAATAACAGAGGAAAAAAAAGAAAAGAGTATAAAAAGTGTGAAGAATGATGGAGAAATGAGTATTTTATTTATAGAAAATACAATTGCACGTAGTAGCCATCTCAAATGACGCATCCTCTCCTTTTTATAGTGCATGTGTCATCTCACTTGGCTAAAACAAAGTGCATGCGTCAAGTGAGATGACGCCTAAAGAAAAAAGGTGAGTGCATGCGTCATCTCACTTGACGCCTCCATTGTGGAGTTTTCTGAAACGTGATTATTTGCGTAGTTTTCTCTAAAACATGATTATTTGTGTTTTTTTTCTTTTCAATATTTGATTATTGCTAAAAAAAAATCACAAGTACAACCCTAATGTTTAAGCATACACACATTGATAAATAAAAATTAAATAATACTAAAAGATTTAACTAAATTATTTTTCTTATTTTTTCTTCTGTTATGTGCCTAAATATTTTTTAGGTTTAAATGTACTTTTAATTTTTCTATTTTCAATTTTTTGAAGTTTTAGATCTCTCCTTTTAAAAATCATTTTTTAAATCTTCAAATTTTAGTTTCCTTGAGATTTTTCTGGTCCTCCTCCATCTTATTATTTTATTAATGACGTGGGTAATCAAGTTAGATATTTTTCATTTTTAATTTTAGAAATTAATTTTAAACATTATAAATCATTTTCATTTTAAAAAAAATATTCTTTAATAATGATTATTTACAACTTCTTCATCTTCTCTATCTTCATACAATTATCAAACCCATATATGCTTTTGTTGTCATATATTGAAATTTTAATCCTTTAAACTAAATATAGAATATTAGAAATCAAATTGAAACACCAAGTTCCCAAGTATTTAAATTGAATTTAGTTACAAATTGTTAGAACACTAGCAAATCTGAGAATTTATAGTCATGGTGTCTAGATCTGGATCTTATGGTGAGTGAATGCAAAAACGCATCAGAGAGAAAAAGCAGAAACGCAATTGAAAGAGAGAGAAGTTATTTCAAGCTACGGCGGTGGTGCAACTGCGATGGGATGCGAAAATGGAAGATGAGTCGCGCAAGGGTGGCAAGCAGCGGTGGTCGCAGTGGTTTAAGAGAAAGCATACATGTAATAGAAAGAGTGAGAGGATCTGGTGGTGGTGATGCGTGATGGAGACGACCAGAAATTTGAATGTGGCTGTGAGGGTAGAGAAGGTGAAGCAGTTGAGTGTGGTTCAAGTGCAGCACTTGGAGGAGTAGATCTAGGAATTATATATGAATTTTTGATAGTATGAAGTAATCTAGTAGATTTCAAACGCTTCAAGTGATTGGGGATGAAGAAGACGATGCCAAGCCCTATAGTTATTTAATAGCAGAATAATAGATATTAAAAAATGTTTTTTAATAAATGAAAATGATTTTTAATATTTAAAATTAATTTCTGAAATTAAAAATGAAAAGTGCTCAAATCCTTTGCCCCGTCGTTAATGAATCATGTTGTACCCTAAATTTGTCCGTCATTTATTTCTACAGTTAAAAATATTTTTAACATTGGTTTTTATTAAAAAAATTGGTTCAATTTTACTAACATTTTAACAATAATTTATTTCGCTCATTTAAAAATACATAATAGTTTATTTTAAAATTATTTATATTTCTTAAATAGTAAATACTTGTTCATCTTCATATACTTTCAATTGGGTATTTATTTCAAATGATTGACATAACATAATTGATAAGGAATGAAACTTGCACGTATGAGGTCGTGGGTTCGAATCTCTTATGTTGTACTTTTAACTATTTCCATTTTTTAATTACTTTTAAAATCACAAAAATCATTTTTTTATTATTTAAATACTATTTTATTTTTTTCTATTTTAGACAATTTTTAATAATAATATTTAATTTATTTTATGCATTTTTTATCAATAAGTGTCTAAAAAATCACTAAAAAAATCAAATCTTTTTCACTTGTTTTTTATTGGTCATCCTGCATCATTATGATATCTGATTGCCTAGCTTGGTGATCAAGATAGCTTTTGGATTTTTCGGGTATTGGATGATTTCCTTTTCAAGTTTTTAACCTAATTCCTAACCCTATAAATAGGACTCTTGTCCATCCTAATTTTTCATCCACAACTCACTAGAGTTCTCCTAAAGTTGTTGCTCTTCACATCAAAGAACAACAACAAAGAAATCCTGAAGTCTCCATCAACAATCATTTGGAGATCAACAATCTTATCAACAATTATTTTAAGGTTATGAACATAATACCTAATTTTTTCTCACAATTGCGGGCGAATTTTCTAACACTATCACACACAACCTCTCCACACAGATTTCCAATGTCACTGCCGTCACATTCAGATAAGTTTTTTCTACTTATACTTATGTTTTATTTATTTTACCATATATGTTTACCATGTGATATATATATATATATATATATATATATATATATATATATATATATATATATATATATATATATATATATATATATATATATATATATATATATATATATATATATATATATATATATATATATATATATATATATATATATATATATATATATATATATATTTGTCTCCTATCAACCATGAGTGTAGAAAAATTGGAGATAGTGGGCATTAGTTACGATTCTAGTTTTTTTGTTTTTATTTTTTTGTTTTGTTCTATATAATTTTCAATATTATGGATAATGCAACAAGGGTGAATTGTATAGAATTTATAAACAAATAGTTGTAGGCTAAGTTTTATATACTATTGAAATTAATTTCGTTCATAGTACTTAGTTTCTATGTAGGTTATAATATTAAATAATTTTTTAAAATTTGGTTTTCCTTTTTATCTTTTAGGATGTAAATAGTTTTTCTTCATTCTATTAATAGGGTGAAAATTTAATTAGTTTTTTATTATTAAATCAAAATATTCATTATTTGTAAACAAAAATACAAACAACTTTTTCTCAACTAATTAATTTAATATTTTACAAAGATATTATTAAACTCTGCTGCTTAATTTGGCCAAGTTCAATTTCTGAACTTGGACCCTTATTATTCACACCCCTGTGTTTTACTACTAAATTAATTTTACACCCCCCACGTGCGTTTTGGGCCCAGTTCAATATCTGAACTTGGGCCCTTACTTGCCAGACCCTCCTATTTGACTACCCTGTTGCAAAACGCACCCCTCAGTCAATTTGGGCTCAAAATATATTTGGGTCTAGATTTTCTTCTAATACACCATCTGGTCTTAATATTCACACCTCTCCTACGAAAGTGGACCAAGTTCAATTTTTGAACTTGGGCCTTAATATCCTCACCTTAAAAACAGCTAACCAACAACAAATCACTTTTTTCTACTTACATAATAAAAAATTACAAGATATTTTCTAAAAAGGATTAAATAGTATTACTTTTAAAATTAATTGTGAACTACGTCTACGCTCACTCAACTTACAAACAAGACAAAGTTCAAAGATCAATTTGAAATCAATTTTACACAATCTTATAAAAAACAGCAAACAAACTACAAACTATGTAATGAGACTCATATTCTTCATAAGAGGATACATAGACATACGACTTAAAAATCGTGTCGAGTCCCTTAATTAAAAAATTAAAACCATATCCTAACCTTTAATCTAAACCCTAGTATCCTTGTGAACAAGGTAAATGAGGGGTGTATAATACCTTACCTTCATCTAAAGTGAGTCAAGAACTTAGAATCTCAATATAATTTAGGGTTATTCCATTATTCACCCATCTTAGGATAAAAATTAATGGTGTGATTCTCTTTTTTTTTTCTTCCGGTTATTATAAAGCAACCAGATGGAGAGGGACCAAGAAAATCTCAAGAGAGATAAAGTTTGAGGACTTGAATGCTGACTTTTAAAATGGAGGGTGTGATACGGTGGGAGAACTGACTTGG